ATTGTGGAAAGTTTTAGCAGAACAATGTTTTATAATAAAAAGAAATAGCCAAGCGCATTTAATAAATTGTAAAGAAAAAAAATACACTCCAATAAAAATGAAAAATATGAAAAATTTAGAATTCTGCTTAATTCCATAAGCGAATCTGACATGTATAAACAAATGATTGTGAAACAAAAAAATGTCTACCTAAATGCCTTGATTGTAGCACTGATGTGCACCTGAACTATTATTACATTTTGTCTTTTATTCGTGCGTTTAATAAATGATCGAAAAAAAACAAGGATCAATGTGTTTGCCTCAATCAAGATGTGTTAAGAGGAAGAAGAATAATTTTCCAGTAGCTTATGAATTACGTGCACCCACATGCACCTGCATCCCAGCTGTGTTGTGATTGTGCCGACGACGTAAGACGAACTTCCTACTTCCTTGCCGTGGACAGGAGCCGCCGAAGGAGACAGCCACGACATCGCGAGAGGATTGTATTGTAAGTTACATTAGTTATTTATTCCCCTGTTGTTTTGTGTCCCCGATGAGTAGTTAAGCGCTACAGCTGCCACCGCTGTAGCTGAAAGGAGAAAGGCGGTGTGCATACGTAGGGCCGACGCCAGACGACGACTTACAGTGGACAGACAGACGGCAGACAACCGACGGGACTTTTCTTTTTATTTTATTTTTATTTCTTTGTCAGAAAAAGACAAATACTCAGCCGGCAATGAAAGTACCGAGTCTCATGACAAAGTACTCTACGAGAGCGAGACTAAGACTGGAACTAACGCGATCCAATAAATTTGTTTCTATCAAAGAGTTTGCCATTGTACAGCTTTTTAGGCCATAAACCATTGAAAATTAGAGCAGGTTCTCATAACACGGCTATTGAGAGATATAAAAAATAGATAAACGGAAACTTAGACCATTGAATTTATATGTCGAACAGCTATTCTGCGCTTAAGACTTAGACTTGGGATTTGCTACCGTATAAAGGTTTCAATCGATCAAAATTTTTATTTTATTTTAGTCTTATTATTTAACGGCAGGAATCCGTTTTTACCTACCACTTAAGCATGGACGTATATTCTTTTCGCCCTAATTTTTGCAAAGCCCAACATGAAGTGTAAGAGACCATGTAAAAAATATATACTTGATCAGTGTGAAATTCTGTATCGATTAAAACACGTCTGTCCGGTGTGTGTTTTTGGTACTCTTCTGGTCGTAAAGTTGGGGCTATCGACTTCAAATTTAGAAGAAACATTGGGAGTTCTTGTACGCAGGTTGGTATTGAAAATGGGCCAGATTGTTCAGAGGCCACTTATGTGGCAAATTGTGGTAAATTGAACACAGCTCCATTTTGCTCAATAAACATTTGTGGATTTTTGCTCATTACTCACAAATTTGGTGAAATTTTCACATATTTATTTAACGCAAATTTCTACTATTTATCTATTATCCTTTATTCTACTGTCATCTGCAAAAATTGAAATTGTCCGCCATGCTGATACAAACTTATAAGTAATTACATTTTCTTGTTTTTTTCACTTTTTCGAGGTTCATATGGCATTATTTAAACAAGAGAGAATCTTTAACAAGATTTAGTAGTGTTTTAAAAATAAAATAAATATGCTGGGCACGACGTGGTGGATCTTTTACCAAATTAAAAGATGCCATTTACTTTTTCATAACTACAAGTAAAGGCAGAGGGTGTCAGAAATTTTAATTGTGGTGAGTATGCAAGATTCAGCTCCAGCCGAATATAACAATTTTACTTTTTTCATTCAATTAGTTTATTAGATAGAGCGTGATTTAAAGAGTGGTCGTTATAACGACGCGGACTAGAATTCGCTCTGGAGTAAGAGCATGTTAGTGTAGAAAATTTCATTAAAATATTTTGACATTTGCGGCGTATAGGTTGAACAAAAAATTCTCGAACAGACGTTAAACAGGCGAATGAACGGGAGGACAGTCATGCTTCTGTAAATAAAGGGCATAATAAAATGTAGATATAACTGTAGTTCTCTTAGTTGTGGCACAAACCCACACCATTTTAATACATTGTTATCGAAACTAGCCGTGAAATACACACTTTACAGCTCGAATATAATTTGCAAATAATTTTTTTTTACTGAAAGGCGACATTGAATGCAAACGACATTCTTCGAAAGATCAAAAAATAAAGCAGACCATCTTGCAATTGTGATATATCGAATAACAATAATATGTAATATATATGTAGTATATCGAATAAAGACGCTTCCAACATAGTTTTTAAACGTGCCTAAAGGGAAATTAGATTCGCCAGCTTATAAGTTTTCTAACATTTACCATGCGGTAAATTAAAAATACTATGCGTATTGTATACCGTATTAAAGAAACGTGTTTTCATCCGAGTAGCCTATGATGCTTTTCTCTTAGTTGAAATCCTCAAAGAAAATAATTCGCTTTCAACGTGAATTATTCTCGAAAGTAAAAATCAAAATAAATTGTTTATCTATTCTTAAATTTGTTGAAGCACACGTCAGATTATTATCAACAAAAGTAAATGGAAAGAAAAGAACGAAAGCGTTAATAGGTTAAAATAAAAACCTCTCCCGAAAGTGAAGTGTTCTATGGGTTCTTTGTTTCCTTTAGACTACTAAAATCAATGCTTGAGATACGTTGTGTTTACTCTGTTCTCTCCTTTCCAACATTTTGGAATATGAACTTGTTCTCTTAATAAAGTTTTATGCAACTTTATTCTGAACCATTTTACAAATCTTAAAGTATCTCGACTACCTAGAGCATCTCAATTCAAAGTATGTGGAGTATCTAGAACATCCCGACAATTAATTGAACTCTCAGTTTTGAATTTCTGGTGAGAAAGTCCAGAAAACCAATGGAGTGTGAGAAGGTTTGATCACGAAGCCAAACTAAGAGCAGTCCGCCAATAATTCCGAGTGACATGTCAATTAAATTACGCCTAACGCACAAGTAACATTCCTACTGAATTGCTCGATCCGCTAGCAAGGATTCATACCATGATAATTGAGAAAAATTTAATCTTTCTACATTTTGATCGCTGTAGTACACCTTTCTACTTAAACATGTAAAAACTTTTAGCTTTTACAACTGACGAAAAATTGTATTTAATATGTTTAGCTTTTCTTAGACAACTTAACGCTTGTAAATATTTCCTTTAAGAAGTGAATATCATAGAGATTCTGCCACGTATTGAAAAAATATACGAGTGTGCATATAAATAAATAACTAAAAAACAATGTAAACAACATAAGGAACACTTTCTCGGTGAGAAAGACAATGAAAATAATTTCAGAAAAAAGGCTGCAAGAGTAACAAGATAATAAAACGGAAACATAATGTAAAACGAGGAGAAAAATGCTTCAACGATACGTACTTAAGACCAGCTGCGCCAACACGTACACAGCACTGCATAGTATTCTTATCAGTGAAGTATTGCATGCTCGTTTTACAGACTTTCTTAGCACATATCAAAAAAGTTGTCTTAAATTTTAAATTGAATTTAAATTTGATTTGATGTGTATATATATACATATTTATGTGAATTAATGTAGAGAACTCTTTAATAATATCAAATTTTTGAGTTAAGTAATGCTCTAGTTGGAGGATGCGTAATGCACGCACATTTAAACAACGAATCTCCTTTTACTTCAACTTCATTTCTCGTGCAGTTGCTGGATTGATAGCGTACAGACGGATTTCTTTGGATTCTGAACTGCGTAAATCTAAAACAAAGGCAATTTTTAATTTTTTCAAAAGAAATCAAGTGTTCTCAAGCAATTAATAAAGCATGGACTGGTAAATGAAGAGAGAAGTGTTCTAGTTTATTGTAGTAGTATATCGAAGTTGGGAGGTTTTGTCATGTAGCTGATGCTCACTTGCAATAGCAAGTGTGCTTAATGAAAACCACATGGACTTTTAAAAATATTGGGTTTGTGTGATTGGCGAGTATTTCAATAAAAACGTTTAGTTTTTGTCCATTCTTGATTGCAATCCTTGATTGTAACCCTTGATTGCAAACTCAAGAGAAATCTTCGATGATTCCTTGCGTATGTTCAGAAGAAAATTGACTACATTGCCAACTTCGTTACATACATTTTGTTTGCTGATATGATTTGCTTATTACAAAGTTTGTGCCCATCCAGTTTGCCTGTATTATGTATGCACCTATGTTGTAGTATCTTTTTGCACAAGAAATGTATCTAGTAACTATATACGCCACACTTTTTTTTTGCGCCGTCTTTGTTATACGATTTTAAAATAACACGTTTTTACACGTATGTTTTGTTCTAGCATGAGTCCAAATGAGATATGAGTTTCAATGTTACTTTTTTTGCACGGTCTTCTGGAAAAATATTTAGAGATTTTCATCTTACACGATCTTCTAAAGTTGTGGAACATATTCGCAAAATTTACTATATGTTGCGTAAGGAAAGTATCTATTGTGTAAAAAGAAATTTGTTTATATAGTTATTTAATAAATAAATAAATGAAAATAAAAAGTAAATGTCACTCATTCATTAACGCTTGTGAAAATTTATCCAATTTTTTGCATTTCTATGTTTTTTCTTTGAAATGGTACCCTAAAGATTATGTTTAGTTTAACGAAAGGGTATGTTGAGGAATGGCATTTTAAAATTAATGTAAAATATTCGGATGAATAGAAGAAATATTGTTGCGATATTTTAGAGTCAGGAAATTGCCGTTGTATGTTTAATGGTTTTCCCTCCTTTAGGTTTTTCACAGATTTCTGTTCGAAGTTGGCGCTTTGCCCCTTGCAAAGACAGACTTCCACGTTTTCTGCTCCATTTGTTCTGAAATGGCAAATAAGAAAAAAGCAATTTATAATTCTGCATCTGACTCACAATTTCTTGACAGAGACATTAGTACCGCTCTCAGTCTCATCTTTATTCTAGGATCATCTCGATGGCGCCACACTTTGGCTTGAACATGCTTTTAAATGAACTTAAAACAGACAACTCTTAGTGTGTTAGCGAAGGAAATAGTCTGTGACTTTCCGCTAGGCATTCATTACACAAAGGCAATCTTCAAGGCACGCTGGGAAAAATCCGGAAATTTGAAAGAACAAATGTCTTCAAACAAAAAACTTTTTCCCCATATTCTAGAAGATTCATAATAAGCAAATAAAAAAAAAATTAAATTAATTTTCTAAAAAAAATTTAACTTAAAATATATGGAAACTCAGTAATTATTACATTAATCCACGTTTAAGATTCCTATGTGTTCTTCTGATTGACTGTCATCATCTACTTTTTCCGAGTTCGAAGGGCGTCCTTAATTTACTTGTGCTTTTGATTATTGTTGCACTGCTTTCAGACTCGTTTGTAAAATCTTCTCGGAGTTTATTTTCGCAACAATGTTTAAATTTTATGACGACATACACAATAATTTCCGAAAATTCAATTATTTAAAGCAAAAAAGCAGTTTTCTTGTACAATCCTTTTTTCCATAGATTTTCTTACTTCATGAGAGACGATATAGAAACATGCCTGCAACTTTCTCTTTCAGTTTACTTGGCCTTTGAGAAAACCACTTTACGCTGTATTGGCTAAAGTTATACAAAATTATTTTATGTACGCATGTCATGTAAACACAGTGTTTGGCAAGTTTTAAATTTAGCCACAAGTGGAAGAAGACGTGGAAAAATTGATGTTGTCATCATGTCGATGCCGTTGTCATCTGGAAGGACGTATTTTTTTGGAAACCATTGATACGGCGGTTGCGACTATAAAGAAAACTAAAAGCTAAACAGTTTCGCTAAGTTTAAGTTATTTATTTTAGAAAGCAAGACAATGAGAGATATGTTGCAATTTACAATCAAACGTAGTTTCTACAGCATGCTTGAGGTATAACAATTCTGTCGTTTTATTTGTTATACCTAGAAGTTATTACAGATTGTTTAGAATGCTATTAAGTCGACTTACGTCTAAATCGATAAGCGGCTGGATCTATGTTTAACCCGCCTCTTTTCAAGATTGTGGGGATTAGAAAAGTTCGTAGACAGTTAAGTTTGAAGGTCGATTCGAAGCTGTGGGAATATAGTAACATATTCGTGCGGTTATTAACAGAAAGGTGACGAGAATTCCATTATTGAAAAGATGGGAAGAGAGTGTGCATGAAGAATGTGAATTTTTATTTTCTCTTTAGAACCACGTTCTTTGGGTCATGTATCTTCTTCTTCTGAAATCCAAATTAAAAAGGATTTCATACTTCTGAGAGAATAAGTATCATACGTTTAAAAAACGACTTCAGACTACTTTAGGCAATTCGTTTGGTTTGCTTATTTATAATACAAAGTCCTTAACAGATATTTATATACGAAGCTATTAACACATTAATCTAAAAGCACACTAAGTCTTTAGAGTCGAGCAAGACCAAACATCTGTTCTAAATTTAACGCACTTTATATACTTATTTATTTTTTTTACAAAAAACTTATTCATTAACCATTTTCATGAGATCTGTGCCCAAGATAGGGACAAAGAAATTGTAGTGATGCAAGCTTGGTACAGTAAGTAAGAGTAAAATAATGAGTTGGTGATCGATACTTCCATGACCTAAAAATGGTCGGTTAAGCAAGGTTTGCTGAAATATTTCATATGTCTTTAATTACGTCCGCAGTGTAATGCGTATTCAAAGTGGCAGCCGCTAAAAAGTCTTTATCCTTTCTTAACAATCTCTTTAGTCTGCATATTAAATAAAAGTATTTCTGTGCCTGTGTGTGTGTGTGTATGGAGAGAGCAAGATGTAAGAAGCTAAGTATCTTCATTTTGGATTAAATCTAGGAACGTCACGGCGTGATGCAGTAGTTTTATCTTAACAATTCCTTCGATGTGGGTGTCAAATAACGGAACGTGAGTAGTACGCGACAGGTTACTTATTAAAAAAACAAATTTTATATAATTTATTCGTTTTTTTAATTTTTACATGAAGTCCTATGAAATACTTTCACCTACCTTCAGAAGATAAAGTTCCACGTTTAACGTTTAAGCTGAATGTCCCGGGAAGCATATGTTTTTAAACGAAGAGATAAGTTGTCATTACCATAATTGAAAGAAAATTACTCTTTCACCTGTGTCTAATGAATCCTGTATATATACGTTCATTGCAACACGCAATAGAAAGTTTGAGGGACCCTGTAAAGTATGTATATGCCCGATCAGCGTCAAGTTCTGAATCGCTCTAGGGAAGCCTGCTGTCTCTTGTTGCTTTATTGCCACACTACTGGTTGCAAGAATTAATTTAAGAGCTTTAAACTCACGAAAAACAATGGAATTTGTTGTTGCAGATTGGTATTGAAAATGGGACATATCTGTTAAAAGACTCGACTAAAGAACAACGCGAAGCAAGAACACTTTCTGAGAGAACTGAATAAGGCAAGTGGCTAAGAAATTTTTCAAAATAAAAGACAATATGTTCCATGTCTCAGAGAGATTTGTGGTGCCTCGGCCATCAGAGGCAGTAGCAGCTCTATTAATTATATCTGCTCGTTTTTTCGTTGTCGTCGGAATTCAAATGTGTTTTGTTTACGACGGCCATGTTTGGTTTTATCCTTAAAGCACAATATTGGCATCGTTTACACAGCTACACAGAGTTAAAGAAATTCTGCAGAGAATTGATATAATTCGGTATAGAATTGTATTTGTGCTACAAATTCGATATAGCATGCGACACTACAGTTATTTTTATGGATAAGAATTTTATTAATGGTTCCTTCATATGACCTCACGCTGTATAGGCGTCTTATAAAGTGTCCGTTTTTGTTGATATTACATGTCGTGTTTGGCATAGAAACATCCTCAACTGATTAAAAAGTGCGAGGAAGAATTTATATAAGTGCGCGTAATTGGCAATACGCCAGCTTGATTATATCACTACACCCATGCAAAATTCCGATGTAGTTGCAAATGTAAATTGTTTAAATGGTTGGTATACCTGTCATATGAGCATAAAATATTCAATTGCCACAATATTATAGCAAAGTCCTTACCAGCTGAAAGCAACATATTACTTAAGCCTGGTGTAGACAAACACATCACTGTATCCGTATGGCCAGGAATGATTTTACAATTCATTCCCTTCTCGCAATCATAGAGTTTAATGTGCTTAATGTTCGTAGCCATGGCCAGAAAGCGTTCACTTTCTCCCAGAAAAGTGATATCAAGTATTTCATCGTTGAAGCCAATCAGTTGTTTAATGCAATTTAAACTTTGATTTTCCGCATCCCGTTCAAATATCAGTATGTTGTGATCAACAGTTACTGCAGCTAATTGTTGCGTGACATCGTTACGGAGTAGATGTTTAATTTCATATTCTCCTCGACTTTCGTTGAGTAATGAAATTTTACCAGATTTCAACTTTACCAGCTTTATATCACCCTTGGTTCCGGCTACAATAACCTCACACTCATTAGCATAAAATGCTCCTTCCAATTCATCATATATTGGTATTACCTTCTCCTGAGTTCCATTTAATCGCCAAATTATCAATACTTTATCCCGTCCTACACTAGCCATAAATTCACAATCGGAGTTCCGATTCGCAAAACAAAACGCAGTCACTTGTGATATATGGCCAGACATTTTACAGATCAACTCCTTTGTGTGAAAATTCCAGCAATAAATGCTATTATCAGAGCCGGCAGCAAAAACCTCCGTTTTAAAGGCATTTGGATGGAAATTAGCCAAATACGAAGGACCCGAAAAATCTTTAAAAGCAGCCAAGCATCGACTATTTTCATAATCCCATATACGTAAGCTCGAATCAGCGCCACTGCTGCACACCAAACATCTTGGATATGTGCATTGAGTAAAAAGTATTTTACAGGAAAGCAAAAAATAGAATAACAATTTTCACCGAGAAAAGAAAAGCCACAGTGGCGGTTAGTGGTTTAAATATACAAATATACAGGAAAAACCAACTAAAAGGCCAAAGTGATAAGACAATTTTAAAACAAGAACATTGTAGTCGGGCAAGGCCGACCGTCAGATACCCTACACCACTTTACTCGTTTTATTAATAATAATATAATTTCTTGAGACATATCGCCGTGTTGCCAAAAATTTTGTAAAATGTAGAAAGTGATGGAAACTAATTTGATTAATATACATTGTACCGATTTTCCATAATAAATGCATTTTTCATGGCAAGAAATGATCAACGTTTTTGCAAACACCTAATAGTAATCGTTTAAAATTCAAAGCGACAAATAGTTGTTAAATTATCAATGAAAAAATTAAAAATCATGTCATCTCAAAACAGTAATAAATAGAAACAAAAAAAAAGCAAATAAGAAAATTAAGTTGGGTCGGGACCGAATCTTTTACACCCATCACCATCTTAAAAAAGACAAAAGAAATAAGAGAACAAAATTTCCGTTTCCCTATAATGCGGTGTGGACACAGTTGATTTCTTTTATTTTCAAAATAAAAATTTTCGTCGTATACGCGTGTAGGCGTTGTAGGCGTGCCCTTTGAAAAGTTTTATTTGCTATAGTATATGAGTGGAAAAACAGAAGAATTCTCAGTTTACATGGTGCTGCGGGCGTCTTCTTCAACCGATTTGGGCCATTTTCAATAACAATCTGCGTGCAACAACTTCCTGTGTTTCTGCAAAATTTTAAGATAGCTTTATTTTTGCGGCCACGAGAATGTTTGCAACAGACATTATACAGACGGATAGACGGACATGTTTAAATCGATTTAAAATGCTGACCAAGAAAATATATATTCTTTACGGTGTCTCTGATGCTTTCTTCTGGGCGTTGCAAACGCTTTGACAAAATGAATGGACCCATCACCAAAGAATGATGGGTACAAAAAAAACGACAATGCGAGACTCATATGAGATTATGAAGCACGCTAGCTACATCACCTCACCACAGGGAAGATGATTCAGATTTTGATATTACAAATTTATAAGTGCGAAGAGGAGAAGCCTTCACCGTACTATAAGCGTAAGTGAAGACGAAATTTCTTTGAATAATGCAAAATGCTGTGCTGTTTAAGTACCCGCTGGTGTACACAATAAATATTACAAGAATAGAAAAAACACGCAATTAAAAAAATATTCGAAAAGTGGCTCTGCGCTCGACTATATCGCTTAATCGGTGGCGAGGCATAGATTTAACTCCCTCAACCACCATTATTACTGCCGATACCTTCAGTTCGTTAAATCCTCTCTGTTCGCTAATCCTAAATACTTTTTTAAATTTGTTAACTCTAAAAGAAAAATTTCCACATATCTCTCTCACGTTTCTTTTAATGGCTCTGATTCCTCGAATGATTTTGAAATCTCAAATCTGTTTGCTGTGTATTTCCGACGAAACTTTTCGATTGGTAATTTCGATTTATCAGCAATCTACCCATATCCTATAACTAACTCGGTTTTGATTCCTAACTTCGTTATTACGGAAGATGACGTCTTCATAATTTTTTCGTTGATTATTTAAGGAATAAATTTGAATCCTCGTTGAAAAGAAAGAAAGCAAATGCATGAACTTATTATTGAAGCTTCTTAAATTTTTATTATCTTTTTAATAAGTATTTTAGCTAATGAGCTAATGGAACACGTGCGCATACGCAGTGTACTCAAAATATGGATTTCATTTAGCCGGGCATTTAGCTGATTGCCAAACTTTGCTAATCGTATTGGTATAGGTTTTTTGGTATAGTTTTTTTTGGTATAAATTATATACGGAAAGAATTATCATTTATTTTTGAAAATAGGGTAAAATCGAATGCCACGCCTATAAAAATTGTATAAAACTATTGAGGAGACGTACAAGGGGAGATGAATGCATATTTTTGATACATTTATATAAAAAAGATTATATATTATATTTCAAGCACTTGTATAAGTTATAAATGTATACAGCCACTCTCACAGATGGTAGTAGTAAGGAAATTTTACTTCTTTGAAAATCGGTAGCGCTCTTCGCTTATAATAATTTTCAAAAAACAAATCAACAGTTTTGCACTTAGAAGTATTATGAAAACGTTCAATAAAGATATATTTTTGTAGATGATCAATCCCTATCCGGCCTTTACTCTCCATAGACATAACATAATATTCCGGAATATAAGGGCATCAAATTTTTCTTGTTTTTTTGTGACCCCTCGTACGCTGGGTTCGCTAAATGTTGAAATTCATTTATGCTGAGATTTCTGAAGTTTGTCGAGATTTTAAGCCCAAATGCGTACATCGTTTCCTGCAGATATATTAATTAGTTAATCACATTCATTGCAGTCATTATAGCACGCAGATAATAAAACTTCCTTTATAAGTAAAACTTTAAACGCGTCCAGTATATATCCAAGTGTGAAACTTCTGCCAGCTAAGGATATTATCAATTTCTCCTCTTCGATCACTGCATCTCATTCTAGCTTATTCTCGAAAGTAGCACAATACATGTAAGCAAATTTATTCAAACATAATAATCTGTTGCTAGAGTTATGTCACCAATTCGAGCCCTCTTCTGATCAAAGCTTGATCTAAAAATAATGATAGGTTCGCAACGATGATTACGTTCCAAGTCTTACGTAGCCTTGGCATTTCACACCATGCGTCACTAGCATCACAGCACCTCAAAGCGTTACCCAGGCGGAAAAACGTGAAACCACAGAACGGAAAAAACCTTGGGTTTAGAGCAAGACTTTGTAGATCGTTTAGATGGATAGATTTTTGTGATCATTGAGTCCTTTTGAAGTTTTTCTTTTCCAGGAATGGCAAACAAGTAGATCAAAATTTTCTGTTCGTCAGAATGCATAAGATTTTTGCCCTACGTAACTAGATGTTGTCTAGATCAGATAATTATTTTCCTCTAGATCAGCGGTGGCGAGCTTTTTCTTTCTTTCCCTATTACTCTCGGTATTGTTTTCTAAAATACTATATAAATATTTTAGATGTTCCAACGATAAACGGTTTTTTGGTTTTTTCCAAGCGCCACCAAACCAACTCCACTACGAAACATTTTCCTTCCCGAGTTTTTGGGCACTTTTCACTAGTTTTTTTTTTCTGTTAATGTCGTTTCAATTTTTCCGCCTTTCAACTTTTTTTTTTTTTTTTTTTTTTTTTTGTTTGTTTAGAGATGGATTGGACCAGTTAAGTTAATGTTAGATCCATAATCCAGAAACGAAGTTGAGAGCGATTGATGAAAAGATTTAAGCATAGGTAGACTGAAGTGGCAGAGTGTTCGCAATGAGAGGCTCTGTTCCGCTGTCAATCCATAAATCACCGTACTTGGTACTGTATTGTCAAGATCCGGCTAATAATGCCGATAAAAGAAAAAGTGTAGGCGATTCGTGATTGTAATAGAAATACTAAATGTAAAATTAGAATGAAGACTCAGCTGATTTGATAAAGGCAGTCAGTTGCTTCAAATGCCTAAAGTTACCAGCACGAAAAATTTCATATAGATTGTTATACAGGTTAAATATACTGAAAGATTGTCTAAGGATGTCAAACCTCCTGCACTCAAAATAAAGTGCTCGGCAGACTCAGTAGTATTGCAATCCTCACAAATGTCAGAGGAGGAGACTTTGATCATTTTAAAATAGACCTTGTCGTAGGTGTGATTACTCATAAGACGGTGAAGAACTTTAAATTCCCATGTTGTGAATTTTCCTTTAGGTAGAAGCGTGGGTGTCAAAAAAGGGTAAATTTTGTAGAACAGCCGGTCACTTTTTTCTCTAGCTAAAACATGATACTCATCTTTCCATTCGTTTATGATGAGTTTTTTGACTAGCAGAAAAGCTTCGCTGGGGGGGTAGTTTATGGACAAAACTGTACCATCGAACCTAGCTTGACGAGCATGGAAGTCAGCTTTTTCATTGATACTAAAACCGCAGTGACCTGGGATCCAGATGATGTGGCATTTTTCAATACTTGGGTCTTTTAAAAGGTTGTAGATATCGAAGACATACTTATTGAATGGATCTTTGTTCTTGATTAAAATTAGAGCAGATTTGCTGTCAGAGAAAACTACAAATTTTTTCAGCTTAATTTCAGATGCGTGGATGATTGCTTCTCTGATGGCCAGAAGTTCAATGAAAGTGGATGATAGTTCTTGTAGAACTTTGAATTTTCCTATAAGTAAATTTGGGTATTCAATAATTGAAAAACTAGAGATGTCCGAATTGATAGATCCATCCGTTGCGTATATTTTGAAGTTATTTTCGACGAAGTGGTTAAGTTTTTGCAGATAAGCGATTCGAAGACAAGACCCTGATCGATTTTTTTTTGAGTTGGTGATTGAATTAAGTAAGTTTAAGTCAACTACGCATTTATCATGAATAATATTATTCTAGGAGGGTATTGAGTTAACTTTATTGAAGATGTTACTGAATTTTTTGAAGCAGTTAGAGTAACTAGTGATGACATGATTGTGTCTGGAAGCGACCTTGTCAAAGAAGGCAGGTTTGAAGATTTTTACCTTGAGAAGTTCTTTTGCAGTTACAAGATAAATTCTCTTAGCAACGGGGAGGTCATAAGAGATGGAACGTAAAGTTGATGTTGGTGTTGAAGGGGACAAACCGGTACAACGTCTTAGGATTGAGTGTTGAAAGGTGTAACGGCCGCAAACAAACCTTGGGTAGGGTGTCTGTCGGTCTGTATCAACCGCAAGCAGCGGAATAACGGCATGCCGTTAGACAAAATCATGCGATTTTGTGGTACTGCTTATAAATCACATGATCTTGCGGGATATGTTTGTTTTATTCTTTTCTGTTTTCCTTGTTTACAAGTACAGGCAAAATCGTGTGATTTTGCGGTACTCCTTTTTTTTCCTTTTG